CATTCGCCCTGGACTGACCTATGCCCTCCCTAATTCCCCACCTACACTCACCTTTATTGGCTCCAACCCCGCCTCTTTGACCTGTCTGTCTCCTCTCCACCTATCTTCTCCTTTATCCATCTTCTATCCGCCTCCCCCTCTCTCCCTATTTATTTCAGAATCCCCTTCCCCTCCAGCATTTCTGAAGAAGGGTCTAGACCCGAAACGTCAGCTTTCCTGCTCCTCCGATGCTGCTTGGCCTGCTGTGTTCGTACAGCTCTACACCTTGTTATCTCAGATTCTCCAGCATCTGCAGTTCCTACTATCGCTGATAGTGATAAATCTTTTTTCGGAAAGTTGCATTAAGTAAACCTTGCTACAGGTTGATGCTAACGTTGTACATCCCAAACCCATAATTTGTTTCCTGTATAGTGAAAATGCATCTCTGTTCTGGGAGGCCACAAGTTTCAAATTTCAGATTGCACCAATTTTTAAAATCTGTACAGGAAAGGTACAGGCATTTGATTGAAATAGGAATTGTTGGAAAGTGCAGGGCTCTTGCCTCTATTCACATAGATGATCTCTGCAGTATTTTTTTTCTACTGGTACATTTAGGTTCAAATACAACTTTAACCATTTAAGCTAAAAATCGTGGTTCCTCCTTTCAATGATAAATATCTTTTATTTTGTTTTGAACTGTCTAATTTTCTTGTTTCCCTGCTCCCTACTCCCAACTCCCACCTCTTTATCAGTATTCGTATTCAAGTTTTATTTTGTGTAATTGCTGTGGTTTTGTCTGAATTCACACTAAAGTGACCCAGTATGTCCCTGACTCTCAGCAGCAGTTTTATCGCGTTATACAATGACAGTACCATGATTGAGAAGTTGCAGGAGACAGGTCTGGAGCAATGAAAAACAAATGCAGCTATGCCTGAAATTGGGAAATTGGTTGGACAGAGATTTAGACAACAAGGCACTGTCATGAAAGTTACTAGGAAGCGTAAACTTTATAAACTGATGTTTCAAACCAGACTTGTAAGCTTGCAGTAGGAGAAGCTGCCTTGATTTTCTGCTCTGTCAACAGTAACCCAGATGTCTCTGCGGTGGTTTGCTGGCTCTTCAATGATCTGTGCCTCCTTTGTTTGGGAACTGAAGATGAACACCAACATGAAGAAGTACAGAGGCAGATACTATTAGGTAAAAAGAGTGATTTTGAAATATGAAAACACACAGTATAATACAAAACCCTCAACCTGGGGCCTTGTACAAAATCTTTGTATCCCTTTTAGCTCCAGGAGAGGTCCCAGAGGAGTGGGTGATAGCCAACATTGTTCCTTTATTTAAGAAGGGCAACTGGGATAACCCAGGAAATTACAAGCCAGTAAGCCAATCATTAGTGGTAAGGAAATTATTGGAAAAGATTCTTAGGGATAGGATTTACTCACATTTGGAAAAATATAGCCTTATTAGCAATAGGCAGCATTGCTTTGTGGGTGGGGGAGTAGTGTCTCTCAAACTGGATTGAGTTTTTTTTTGAGGAAGTGACAAAGATGATTGAGGTCGGACGTCTCGTTGTTAGCAAGGCCTTTGACAAAGTCCCTAATGGCAGGTTGATGCAAAAGGTGAAGCCACATGGGATCCATGGTGAGCTGGTTAAGATGGATACAGAACTGGCTTGGTCATAGAAGACAGAGTAGAGGTGGAAAGGTATTTTTCTGACTGGAGACCTATGACCAGTGGTGTTCTGTAGGGATCAGTGCTGGGACCCCTGTTGTTTGTAATATATACATATAAATGATATGGAGGAGAATAAAGGTGGCCTGATTAGTAAGTTTGTGGATGACACCAGGTGTGGGAGAAGCTGCGGATAGTGGGAAGGATTACCCGAGGATACAGCAGGAGGCTGGAGACTTGGACAGAGAAATGGTAGGTGGAGTTTAATCCAGACAAATGCAAGTTGATGCATTTTAGAAGATCTAATGCAAGAGGGAAGTATGCAGTAAATGGCAGAGCCCTTAGATGCATCAACATGCAGAGGGATGTAGGTGTTCAGGTCCAGCGTTCTCTTAAAGTGGCAACACAAGTGGATAAGGTAGTCAAGAAGATATATGGCATGCCTTCGGGGCATAAGAGTGTAAAAATTGGCAAGTCGTGTTGCAGCTGTATAGAACTTTAGTTGGGCCACATTTTGAATATTGTGTACAGTTCTAGTCACCACACTACAAGCAAGATGTGGAGGCTTTGGAAAGGGTACAGAAGCAGTTTGCCAGGCTGATGCCTGGTTTGGAGGATATCAGCTATGAGGAGAGATTGGATGAACTTGGTTTGTTTTCACGTAAATGTTAAAGGATGAGGGGCGACCTGGTAGAGGTTTACAAAATTTTGATATACATGGATAGAAAGGATACCCTTATTCTCAGGGCAGAAATGTCAATTACTAGGTTAAAGGGGGTAAATTTAAAGGAGATGTGGGAGGTAAGCTCTTTTACGCAGAGGGTGGTAAGTGCCTGGAATGTGCTGCCAGAGGAGGTGGTGGAGGCGGATACTGTAACAGTGTTTAAGAGGCATCTTGACAGACACATGAATAGGCAGGGAATAGAAGGGTATGGACTGCATAGAGGCAAAAGGTGTTTAGTTTAGAAAGGAATCCTGTGTCGGCACAGTTATGTTGGGTTGATGGGTCTGTTCCTGTGCTGTACTGTTCTTATTCTAATTTAGAACAAAGTCAAAAAGTAGTTCTAAATTGTAAAATGGAGCCGGTCAACTGAATTACCATAAGCTAAAATAAACCAAAGAACTGCGGATGCTGGAGATCTGAAACAAACAAAAACAGAAATTGCTGGAGAAATTCAGCAGGACTGGTAGCATTTGTGGAGACAAAACAGTTAAAGTTTCAAGTCCTGTGGCCCTCCTTTAGAACTGAAGAGCAGAATTGTTCTGAAGAACGGTTACAGGACTCAAAATGTTAACTGTGTTTTCCCTGCATGGTTGCTGCCAGAGCTGCTGAGTTTCACCAGCAATTTCTGTTTTTTGTTTGTTACCCAAAGGCGTATGCCTTCTTGCAATCTTCTTGATTTCTGCTGCCCCACCCCCACCAAACACCCAATTCCTCTTGCAATCTCCTTCTCCCTCCCACTTCTCCGTCTCCCACCCAACTGACAGAGGCCACCCTGGACCTGCCAAATGGATCCAGCAAAATATGGTCCCTTCCCAGGCTTGGCAAAAGATGGCCAGTAGCCAGTAAATTGCACCCCCTTGTGATTCCCTCAGTGATTAATGTTAAACAAATATTACACTAGAACTTTGGAAGTTGTGCTGTGCCGAAAACTTGGGAATAAGTTCCCAATAGCAAGATAAGTGAAGCCACAAGTAAATGTTTACGTACTTTGTCGACTGCAGTTTTTCAGAAATACCTTGGCCATTGACCCAGTAATGTTGGTTGGCTAATAAATTAATTTAACGGAAACTATTCTCTTCTCCTTGTCTCATGAGTTTGCTAATTATGGGCTGGCTTCTTGACTAGACACCTTCACCCATCGTCAGAAAAGATCTCATGACAGATGAACCCAGAAATTTCATTGGTGCTGGTTAGTGTGTCCAGGTGATTGAGGGGTGTAGTATGATACTAACTGTCATCATTAATTTTAGATTGTTGGATCCTGTTGCTATTTTTATATAATAATGCATCTTAATGTGTTTTTCAAATAAGATTCATGAATGCAATGAATAGAACTGATAATTATAGTAATGTGAATAACAATAAACATGACGAATTCTCAGCAGGTCTGCACGGTTCAAACATGTTTTCCTATTATGGGCATCGGACTCCAGCACTTTCTGCTTTTTTATTTCTGTTCTGCAACATTTTTTCTTCATAGAGATTGTGTATTTTTTTCATTGCGGGTTTCTCCATTGTGGTCAATAAACATTGTTTTGTCTTTTCAGATATTGTGACTGTCTTGGTAAGAAATGGATTTCAAAAACTGAATCTTGTGGAATCAAACCCTAAAGTGCAGCACTTAATGCAGGTGAGGATGATTCATTTGCTATCTCTTTATCTAGACCCAGAGTTACTAACAGAGTTCTGCAATGTTTTTGAAATTGCAACTTTGTAAATATAGACTATACTCATTAGGAGAATGAATTTTACCTCCATTCAGTAGATGTGCAGAGTACCCCTGTTAACATGGAATTAGCTCTGTATTCTTCCAGTACCAGTACCAATACCTTCCAGTTAACCATTGGAACAGGAGTAGCCCATTCAGCCCCTGAGCCTGTTCAACCCATTCAGTTAGATCGTGGCCGATCTGTGGCCTAACTCCATACACCTGCCTTTGGCCCATACCCCTTAGTACCTAATCTTAATGAAAATTTATCTATCTCAGATTTAAAATTAACAACTGATATAGTACCCGCTGCCATTTGTGGAAGAGAGTTCCAAGCCCTTTATGTGTAGAAGTGCTTCCTGAATCTTTTTTAAATACACACATTCAAAAGAGTGTGTAGTTAAATTTTGTCTTGCCATTCGCCTTTAGGTGAGTAAATTATAATTTCCGTAGAGGTCAAAACTTGTAAAGAGAAATTCAGACTTCTAGTTAACATCTGTAAGAATTTCATATTTGAAAAATTTCTGCCATAAAAGCACAGTGTTGGCTAAACAGTATTTTCTTTAGTAGGTGCCTTAGAATTTAATCTATGGAAATAAAAGGTCCTTTTTAGTTAAAAATTGTCCTGTTCATGGAATTGCAGTTTTTATCACAACAGTTCACAATTACTCACCGTTTTAATGGTCGCTTCCTCCTTTCTTTCCCAGTCGGGTAACCTCTGATTCTGAATTACCTCTCACTGTGGGCATAACATTTAAGCATTCTTCAAGCTGGGCAGGTCTTTATGCTTCCTTTAGCTACTTTGAACTTGGTCCTCAATCTGTGTGTGAGCTCCCACTTGCATTCCTCGAATAAAACAGTCGCAATTTTCAATGCTTAAACTTTCAGGCATGTTTGGCTGTACCACTTGCAGACCAGACAAGGCAAACTGTAACATTAGGACAACCAGCAGATCAGATCTAAACTCTGCAGTCTTGCCTAATCCCATTGTGAAAAGTGGTGGACAGTTAAACAACTCCCATGAGGAGGGGGCTGCACAAATAGGGCTCTTGGGGTCCAGTTTTAGTGTCTACACCTCTGGGCCAGAAGATCCAGGTTCAAGTCCCACCTGGCCTGGAGATGTGTTGTAACACGTCCAAACAGGTTTATTAAAGTAACAAGAGCTGAGGTCCTGAGTGGAGGCCCCTCTGTGCAGGGATCCTACCTCTTTCCACCCGGGGTGGAGGATGCTGCGTGCCACAGTCCCGTAAAATTACACCGTTATGGTGATTCATGAGCTCCAAGACAGCTCTTCATTCTGTTGTGTTATGGAATCTGTGGTACATGTATCTATGTTGCTTGTGAGAGGTTGCACCCTCTTCTTCTTTATTTAGAAAACCTTGTGTTATCTCCTCTGTTGCGCTTCAGCCCATTCAGTTCATCTTGGTGCAGAGAGGACAAGCAGGTGGTGGACCTCCTCGTGGAGTTGTCTCTGGGTCTTGCTAAAGTAGCTATCACTGGGACAGGCAGCGGGCTGCAAAGGTGGGTAATAATTCTCAAGTGCCTGCCTCTTTTCCGTGGTTCTGTCTGTACCTGGATGCCCTTGGAGAGAGAACATAATGTCCACTTGTGTCATTGACGTTTGAGATAAATGGGCACTGTGGAGGCTGGTTGTATAATTTCCCCAACTATATTTTGATTTAGTCTCCCTTGATTTTTACCCCTTTATGTTTTCCTCTTTATTTTTGCTTTGTTTTGGTTCTTGTTACTTTCCCTGGTGGGCATGTTTGTTATTTGTTAATTGGCTGATTTATTAAATTGGATATTAATTTTAATTTAAAGTGCAGTGTTCTTCCCCCGTTGGGTATTGGCTTCTGGAGAAGGAAAGGATCCAGAAGTGTCAGGTGGAAACCGATATTCATGTTAAATAATGCATTTACAATAAACCCTAGAAATCTCTGAAAGTCTTTGCTGTCTAATTCTGCATGAGGATATTGTGGAACAAGCTACTGTATAATTTATCCAGTGTTCTGAACATCAAAGGTGAAGAGTGTATCAATGTATGAAATACTCTGTAATGCCCTTTTCTTCCCTTTTTGAAGCTGTGCAGTAGACAATTTAAATCACATGTTATGTTCACCTGTAAGAGTGATATTGCAGAAGGGCAAACAGAAGGGCTGATTCAATCATTTTCTCCCCAAAATTCACATGTTCCATGTTCCATGTTCTGAGTAACACTACCATTACATTTGTTCAGTTTAAATTAAACTTAAGAGTTGTTTACAAGTTGGAATGAAGACCCAGCAATTTAGGACTGAGATGAGGGTATACCTTCTCTTGAAGAATTGTGAGTCTTCAGAATTCTGTAGCACAGGATGCTGCAGATCCTTAGACATTGTGGCCCAGGTATTTTAAAAGTGAAATAGTCTTTACAGCAGTACAGACTAGAGCTGTGCATTGGGACTAAGAGAAAATGTTGATGCAGTTGATTCTAAGGGACTGCCTGAAAAATTAAACAATTCAATGGGCAATCTTCCTCTGGATTCTTCTAAGAAAGCTCCTTGAAGTCAGAAAACAGAGGGTTCAATTTTACTTGGACTTAATAGTTACCCAGGCAAAGTTAGTGAATTGAAAAGCTACAGTAACTCCTGAGTAACTGTTAAACTGATTCCCTATTTACTGACCCCGTCGGATCCCCACCCATTCTGGGAACTGGCGCACACAACTATAGAAAAGTTATGGCATAGAAACGGGCTACTCCCCTTTGGTTTGAATAAGCTAGTTGCCCATTCAGATCCTGTTTTCCATACTCTTGTAGGTTACTGCTCTTCAAGTGCAGATCCAGGTTCCGTGTAAACAAGTTAAGAGTTTCTGCCTTGACCAACGAGCTGGGCAGTGAATTCCAGACACCCACCACCCTCTGTGTGAAAAGGCCTTTCCTCATATCGCCTTTAACTCTTTCACCAATTACCATAAATGTTCTTTAAAAACTGATTCATTTGATGTAGATGTCGCTGATTGGACATGCCAGCATTTATTGCCCCTCCCTAGTTGCCTTTAAGGTGATGGTGAGCTGCTACTCTGAACCGCTTCAGTCCATGAGCTGTGGGTAGACCCACAATGCTGTTAGGGAGGGAGCTCCAGGATTTTGACCCAGTGACACAGAGGGAAGAGCAATATTTTTCTAGTCAGAACAGTCAGTGGCTTGGAGGGGAACTTGGAGGCGATGATGTTCCCACGTATCTGCTGCTCTTGTCCTTCTTGATGGTAGTGGCCGTGGGTTTGGAAGGTGCTGTCTGAGAGCCTTGGCAAATATCTGCAGCACCCATTGCAGATAATACGTACCACTGTTGCAGAGGGAGTGAATATTTGTGAATGTGATACCAATTCCCTTGTCCTGGATGGTGTCAAGCTTCTTGACTGTTGTTGGAGTTGCACCTATCCAGGCAAGAAGGGAGTATTTCATCACATTCCTGACCTGTGCCTTATAAATGGTGGACAGGCTTTTGGGAACCGGGAGATGAGCTACACACTGCAAGATTCCTAACCTCTGACCTGCCTCGTAGCCCTTAATTCCCCTTGTAATTGACCTGTCCTCTATGAGAAATCCTGTCCCTCACTATTTCATACACCTCAATTAAGCCTCATCTGTAATAAGGAAATTAACTGTGGTCTATTCAATATTTCCTCATAATTGCAATTATCAAACCCTGGAAACTGTCATAAATTTCAGCTGTCGTCTTTCCAGAACAATATACTCTTCCTGTAAAGTGGTGACTGGAACTGTGTACACTACTCCAGCTGTGCCTATCTGTGTTTTGTTTAGCTCCAGTATTACATACGTCCTTTTGTATTCAGTATCACATCTATCAAAGGAATCATTGCATATGTCTTCTTTACGCCTATCTACCTGTCTTGCCAACTTCCAGGACCTATGGACATGCATTCCAAAATCTCTCCTCTCCCCTACTTGTACTCTCCTTTGCATTTCCTTGCTTCATTTGCCTTCCTTTAATGCATAAGCTTCTCTGGATTGAATTGCATTTGCCATTTTTCTGCCCATTCAACCAAACCATTGATACCATTGCAGCAATCAACAGCCATCCCCTTCACTATCAAATTCACGGCCAATTTTTGTGTTGTCTGCAAACCTCCCCATCATGTCTCTCATATTTAAGTTTAAATCATTGAAGTATACCACTAACTGCAAGGAGCCTCACACTCAGCTCTGTGATACACCACTGGAAACTTTTCAAAGAATAGTTAATCCTACCTGTCAATATTGATTCTAGTAAATTGGCCCACCATTGAGGTCAGATTGTCTGGCCATTTATTATTTAGCCTATCTCTCACACTTGGCATAATGCTAAAACATTCGCAGGCCCCAAATCATCTGGTAACTCATTTGTGTCTGACCCTGTCAGACATGCTACCGTCACCACATTTCCCCCTCCCTTTTCATAGTAGATATTTTAAGTGTTAATTTCAGAAATAAATTATTTTCGTACACTTGAAATAGTGCACCAATCTTGATTAATCCTTCACTTCCCTGTATCGGGATGACTGAAGAAAAATATCCTATTTACTTTTTTTTGCACTGAAACTTATTAATGGCCAGGATAAACATCATGATAAGAAAAATGTCTTCTGTAGGAAAACTGCAAATCTTTGGAAAAAATTGCATTTTCAAATTGTACTGCTTTACTGAATCGTCTTACTTTTCTCCTCACAAACAGGTCTGTTTCACAGTGTTGGGCAAAATGATTCCATGTAAGTAAAGTTCATTCTCTATAGGCAAGTATTGTGATTTTGAGAGATGGCAATTACATGACTGCATAATGTTTGATGTAAATAATGTTGTCTCTTTTAATGATTTATTGAGCTAGGTTGTTTGTTTGAAAATTATAATGAAAGAAAGATAAATATGGAACAGGCTAGTCATGCCAAAATTAAGCAATTAGAATGGACAATTTGTCCTATGAGAAAAGGTTGGACAGACTAGGCTTGTTTCTGCTGGAGTATTTAGAAGGGTAAGAAATGACTTGATTGAAATATATAAGGTTCTGAAATGTCTTAACAGGGTGCATATGAAAAAGATGTTGTCATGTAGAAGCTTCTGAAACTAGGAATTACTTTGAAAAGAAGAAGTTGCCCATTTAATACACAGTTTTGAGCTTTTTATTTCAGAGTTATGAGTTCTTGGAACTGTCTTTCTCAAAATATGGTGGATGTAGAACCTTTAAATATTTGTGAGGTAAAGGGAGAAAAATTCTTGATATAGAAGACTCCCTACAGTGTGGAAACAGGCCATTCAACCCCTCAAATCCACTCTAACCCTCCCACGCAGACCCATCCCATCCCTGTAACTCTGAGTTTCCCATGGCTTCCACCTAGACTGCACAACGCTGGACACTACGGCCAATTTAACATGGCCAATCTACCTAGCCTGCACATCTTTGGACTGTGGGAGGAAACTGCAGCACCTGGAGTAAATCCATGCAGACACTGGGAGAATGTCCAAACTCCTCACAGACAGTCGCCCAAGGGTGGAATCGAACCCAGGTCCCTGGTGCTGTGAGGCAGCAGTGCTAACCACTGAGCCATCGTGCTGCCCATTCCTCATAAGCAAGTGGATGAAAGGTCATCAGGATCATTCATGAATGTAGACTCATCTGATCAATTATTGAATAGTGGAGCAGGCGAGAAGGATGTGTGACCTGCTGCTGTTCCTACTTCATATGTTTGTATGTTGTTACTATGAAAGTGTGATTCTGTCTCCTTATCAGGATGCCTTTTCTTTCCTCAAGGGTTACTGGACAATGTTCGGAATGAAGGGGAAAAGGAAGACTCGGCTGGACAGAAAACAACTGTATTCTGGTACGTGGAAATGGCTACAAGTTCTCTAATTTGTTCTTGACTTAGTGCTGGAAGAAATTAACTTGAAGCTGTGACTTGGTGTTTCTAAGTTAAAATTTCCTTCCTGGTTTTGCTCTTTTCCAACTTTGTTGGCTTTGCCTCAGCTAAGTGAACATACAGTAGAGATTGAAAAGTTAACTTTCCTCATCTAGATAGCAAACAAGGCTACAAAAAATGTCTGAGCTAAAGTGGACGATATGACTTGTTGAATCCACTGGTCTAGAGATTCATGTCCATTTTCTCACCTGTTCCTCCTATCAATTGATGCTGCGAGACATCAAAAATCAATGTCATCCTCAAATATATTCAATGATGGAGCATTCACAACTATCTGGGGTTGTTTCTTAATCCTTTGGCTGAAGAAGTTTCCCCTCATCCAAGTCCTAAGTGATCATTGATCTTGTTACAGTGTCCCTTTGTCTAGATTTCCAGGCAGAAGAAGCAAGCTGTTTTTTTTTTCAAAAAATAACTTCTATGGTATGCAAGTGTCTCTGGCATTTGTTGCCAATTCCTGAGTTGCCCTTGAACTGATTAATTGCCCTCGAAAATGGCTGAGAGAGCCACAAGTCAATCCCATTGCTATGGATCTGGTGTCACATGTAGGCCGGGCCAGATAAGAACAACAGATTTTCTTCCCTAAAGCACATTAGTGAACAGGATGGGGTTTTACAACAATCAACGGTGTTGGCTGCTATTAGATTAGCTTTTAGTTCCAGATCTTTATTAAAATCAAATCCAACCATGGCAGATTGTGAAATTCAAACCCATGTCCCAGAAACATTAATCTGAGTTCCGAGTCATTAGTCCAGTGACATTACAACCCGACTACTGCCTCCCCCAACATCTACCCTGTCAAGCCCTTCATAATCTTGAATGTTTCAATGAGATCACCTCTCAATCCTCTAAACTCCAAGGAATGTAACCCTAATTAGGTCAGCTTCCTATTATGGGAAAAGTTTATAACTGTTAGAGTACAAAGTTTATAGTATTGTTATGTTTTAGCACTGTCTCTTTAAGGCAAAACAGAGGGACATGGGGAACATGAAATGGAATAGATGCTGCAGGGAAAATGTGTATAGAATGGAAGGGACATGATGGCTGGTGGAAATAAAATCAAATGTTGCTGAAAGATCTCAGCAGGTCTGGCAGCATCTGTGGAGAGAAATCAGAGTTAACATTTTAGGTCTAGTGACACTTCTTCAGAAGGATCCAGCAATTTCTGTTTTTGTTTCACGTTTCCAGCATCCGTAGTTCTTTCGGTTTTTTTGAGGGCTAGAGGGGTGTTTTTGGCTCCTTGAGTTTCTTCCATTAATCTTCTGCATTGTGCCATGGCATAGATGCAGACTTTGTGACCTGTCTGCATCTGCATTAGCAAAAGGACATGTAAAATTTGCGATTATGTTAAGATTTGGATTGGTTTATCTTGTTTTGCAGTTTTTGAATAACTTATTTGATTGCCCGTTAAAGAGCAGGCATACATCTGTCAATGTTGCCGTAGTCCTACCAGACCAAAGGTCTGCTCTCTCATTAGAGAGACATTACTGGTGATGGTTTAACCTGAAGGTCACCGTGCCTCAGGAGAGGCTGAGAAGAAGGGTCCTTCATGGTAACCTCAGCTGGTGTGGCAATTGAACCCATGCTGTTGGCATTGCCCTGCATCACAAACCAGCCATCCGGCCAACAAAATGGTACACACTCCTACATGATCATTAGTTGGGTAGTTTGATTTGAAAGGAATATTTTCTTGTGTTTAACTTTTGTATGTGATTTAAACGTGAAGTCATGCCTACTGGAATAACAATCATTCAATATTGAATTATCAGTTCATTCACTATCCTTGCTGATTAAGGATGAGGGTGTAGTGTCTAGAATTGAGAGAAGTGTAGGTCATTGTAGATAAAGATGTTCATTCCATATTTTGTATTGGATTGAATGCATAGATTACTTGAAATTATTTGGGAAACTTCAATTATATAGCAGGAGTCAATATTTGAAATTGGCCTAAAGTAGAACTTAAAATAAGCACTGAGGTTGTTGGAGACCTGTAGCAAACAAAAACAGAAATTGCTAGAGAAACCAATCAGGTCCGGCAGCATCTGTGGAAAGGTCACGGAACTCGAAATGTTAGTTTTCTCTGCACAGATGCTGCCAGACTGCTGGTCTTGCAATTAATTTCCATAGGACAACTTTTTGGTAATGAACTTTGAAGTCAATGTGCTTATGGCTAATATCTCATTTATTAATAATTTTTATTGATCCTGTTCTTGTTTTCACAGGCTGGATATGTTTGATGTGACATTGTTCCATGGTGCCATTTCTCTGGATTCACTAAAACAGTTCTTCTACCACACACTGACACAGGTTCTGACCTACAATCCTGTGCTTGAAGGTAACAATAAGTAACATCAACATATCGGACAACATTGTCTTTTAAGGTCACTCAAATTATATCTTTGTACATCAAGACCTCAGACTGATTTTGACTGCCATTCTTTATGCATTTCAAAAGATGTTATTTTAATTTTCCTTTTGCAAGTGATGAAAGACAGTTTGGATTACTTTAGAATTATTCTTTCTTTCTTCTATCATGCTTGAATCTTTAGTCAGTTGCACAGCAACATCTCCAATCATAAAATGAATAATGTTCTTTGGAAGGTGGCATATTATATTCAATAATCGAGAAAGAAGTAGTTTTGTATCATTGGCTGCCTCCTGCAATACTGTAGAAATGACTCTTTTCATTGGAGCAATTTTAAAATTGCATATCTGGAATTTCTGGCTAGAATGGCCACATTACTGGTATTTCAACACTCAGCTGAAGTCACCTCTTTACAGCAGAAGACCAAGTAGGAGTGTTCAATCACAAGTGCGTCAACGTCAAATATCCACATTATTACAGCATGTTTAAGAGGTCGTAAAAAAAAATTCTCCTCTCCACTCCAGAGAGAAACAATAACTTGCAATTATATTACACATAATTCAGCAAAATCTGAGATTTTGATGGAGGCTTGAAAAATTAGTTAACCAGTGCGTGGATCTTTTTGGAAGATAAATACACGTCAGTAAAGATCCAGCGGAAACTGTGTGACTTGGTTACTGCGACATCAGGTGCCTATTGATCAGTTTTTGTAAGGTTTGGCTGCTTCATATTGCTACCGTCACTATCTGGAACAAAGATAGTTTAAATTGCACAAACTATATCATCTTAAATTGTACTCAGATAGGCTGCTATTTATTGTTGAGGGGGTGTAATGTAGCTAAAGACTAAATTAAAGATGTAATTTCTCCCTTGCAACCACTGTTTATTAGCCTGATAGCCACATGACTACCTTTATTTGATTGCAAAAGTATACTTGATTCATAAAAATATCTTTATGTACTACACAGATACTAAAGCGGTCGTATACAATCTTTGTTTGTAAAGAATAAACATTGAAATTTGATATTCCCTGCAGTCGCAAAACCAAAGGTGTTACCTACTCATGCAGAGCACTATTTGCATAGATTTTGAGGCACCGAGAGGGTCTAATAACTGAATGCACCCTCATTGTACTTTGGCAGAAAGATCTTAAACGGTAGTCTTTCCCCACTGCGCCTTGGTGACAGCTGCCCCAAGCTTTAGTGTGTCCCTCAGCACATATCCTGGAGACCTTGGAATGTACTAGTCTGCAACACTCAGTTGAAGTCACCTCTTTACAGTAGAAGACCAACAAGCTTTGGGCAGACCAAAGAGTGCCTTTCTTCCAGGCACAGCCATTGTTTGTCTCGGTGCGCATCCTGGGAACAGCATGTAGAGTCCTGTGCCATGGAGTTGCTTGGGTTGAACCTCAACAAAAGCCACTGCATCTCTCCAGATTTTCTTTATATAGGCATGTTCCAGAAGCAGACGTGTGACGGTCACTTTTCCAGTGCAGACGCTTCCAGGGCGAGGCACAGAGACCAGGCATACATGAAGGATCTGACAGTCAGTGCCTTTCTCAGCAACGTCTTGTGCTTGTTGGAAAGTTCTGACAATGAGGCATTCTGCCAAATGACTTTGACAGTCTGCTGAGGGAACCACGGACAGGATAACCATTTGACTACCAAGCAATCACGTTGCAGTATTGTCATATAGAACTGTAGGCTCAAGGCTGAATCTCTGGTCTCTGCTGAGTTATCATTTCAATATGATGGTGATTTTGGCTGCACCAGAGTTGGGCTGAGGGTGGAAAAACGTCAGCCAACAATTCTCTAGGCTGCCTGTTTGTAATGCTGTTGGGTAACTTCATTTGTAAGATATCCCGGTGTGAAACCCACATGTGGGAGCAAAGTCCACTGTGACGTTACCCAATGGGTCAGTAGCCCAGTACCACTCTTTGTTTAGCTAATGGATGAAGAATGTCAGTCTGGCTGAGAGATCCAGAGGGAACCACCAGCAACTGTCTACTTTGTACCAAAGCCAGAATAATCACCTACAAAGGGAAGGAAAGCCAATTAAAAAGAGTGCACATTAAACTATGGAGAGTAGCTGTCTCTGCTGTACTCAATCTGGGGATGTGATCTTGAATGTCTGATCATCCCAAATGGTTAGCTGGTTAAGGGTGTTAATTAACTATTTCTCTGGTGGTTTTTCTGTGAACAGCAAAAACAGTAAATATGCCTTCAGCCATTTCCAGGATTCATATTTCAAGTACCAAAAAGATTGGTTATAAATAAAAATTCAGTCAACAGGGATGTTTTATAATATATATATAACTTCAGCATTTTATTTTCTTCCTTTCACAGCATCTGATGCAATCCGCAGGCAGGGAGAATGGTGCTTTGCTAAAACTAAGCCACTTTTAGTAACCTTGTACAGAAAGGTAATTGACTTTTAATCAATATAACTGTATTTCTATAAACTGCACTGAGCTCAAATTCATGAACCAAAGTATACTTCAGTTGTGATGCATTCCTTTGTTCTTACATGAAGAAAACTTTAAGAATATACTCTAGTGCATGTTGTGATAGGATCTCAAATCTATGCTCACTGACTTCTTCATAATTGTGACTCCTCAGCTGAGTAACTTCAGTTCAGTGAAACACGTTTCTTATTTTGTTCTTTCTCAGAATAAAAGGTTGAACATGTTTTTCACTAAATCAAAATCGCTCAATTAAAGTGCTTTTTCTTTCTTGACAGTTCAACTCTGGGACTTGGGGCTTGCCTTGCACCTTTGAGCTGTTACCCTTCTACAAAATATGCTGACTTTATCAAGTTTCAATATGTAATCAATGTTTATAGACAAAGATACCTCAGCTGTTTGTACAGTTAAACCATTCGTTTAGTTTGCATAGACATTGCATTCCAAGTCTGACATGAAGTAATCTTAAAACTGCGATACAAAACTAATGAGCACTTTCCGGTCTATAAAATTTACTGACGTGACATTTGAATTCTGAATGACCCCATTTATAATTGTTTTGTAAATTCAATTCTAGTAGAGGTACCTTCTTGGTTCAGTGGTGCCAGTTGCTCCTCCCTGAAGGGTGGAGGATCCACTGTCAAGTTGGAGAAGACTTACTGCTCACATGGTAACAACACTATTAGAACACCGAGTCTACTCCTGTGTGACCTTAACTGGATAGTCATGTGTGTTGTACATGATACCACACACCTCTGATTCTTTTGAATGGGAACTGTGAATACATTTGGTAACACAAGGCCAGATAGAAATTTATCATATTTGCAAATAAATCAGCATGACTTAACTTTGTGAAATAATACAAAACAGTGCATGGGGTGAGGTTTGAAAGTGTTTAAGTGAAGGTATATTTATGAATTTAAATTAAATATTAAGGCCACAGAACAATGCAGCATTAAACCAAGGGGATGAAAAAGTATAATGGTGATAATGCATCAGTGAATAAGGTCAAACCATGTAAAGATGATAAAATTTAAAAGATGCCTTAGCTGAATGCATCAAACATTTGTGGTAAGATAGGCAAATTATTCATACCAATAGGCATAATTGTATTAAATCTAAATACCATACCAGAAATGTTGTTGCTTGGTGGCCAAAGTTAGGAACTAAGGGCATTAACTAAATCTCTGTCTCAACCAAATTAACTTGATATGAAGGTATTTCCCTCTGAGGAGTAATTAAATAGATTAGGCCTAAATTCGTTAGAATTTTCATGAATCATCGGAGTTCTGTACCCCAGAAGGTTGTGGATGCTCAGTTGTTGAGTATATTCAAGGCAGAGAGAGATTTTGGGGAACTAAGTCAATTAAAGCATATGTTGATGGAGCATGAATTGAGCTAGAAGATTAACCACGAACATATTGCATTGTGGGACAGGCTTCAATAGCTAATACAAAATAAGCTGTCCTCTTAAATCCTAGCCTCCTGTCCCTGGGGAAAGCTTGCCTCATTTTTTTTCAAAGAAGATAACCAAAATGTTTGCCTTTTCTCTCCTCAATTCACAGCCAGAGGTGATTTGCCCAACAAGCAGACCAGGAACCACCTAACATACTGTTTAAGAGAGGTTTAATGATTAATGCGACAACTAACAATATGTTTACTTTTACAGACTGTGAGCAGTTTTGAGGCTTATTATCTTATTACCTCAATTACTTTACCTCTTATGCCATTTTAAACAAAATGGTGTGAATAGATTTTGCTGAAATGTTCTAAATTCTTTCACTTCTTTTAAAAAGCAACAATTTCCAACTTTGCGAGTTTTTAGACCTTATGATCTTACTTGCAGCTTCAACTTACTTGCAGAATAGAATATTAAACAATACATGATGCAGTGATATCCAATTTGGATTTTCTGTGGCATCATTTATAATTTGTAATAAATAGGTTAGAGAACGTAAGATTGGCCCCATGTCTACAACAAGAATAATGTGCTTGGGCTTGCAAATTTCAGTTGCCTTTGCAAAAGGGGACCTTAACAACAATGTTACAGTAAAATGTGCCTAAAAGAGGATGCATTCTCAAATTGCATTTTTTTTTGTTATTCACTTGCAGGATATGGGGGTCACTGGCTAGAGAAGCATTTACTGCTCTTGAGAAGGTGGTGGTGAGCAGCTTTTGTGAACCGCTGCAGTCCATGTGCTGTAGGTAGACCCACAATGCTTTTAGGAAGGGTCTTCTGGGATTTTGATCCAACGATAGTGAAGAAATGGTGATAAAATTCCAAGTCAGGATGGTGTATGATGTGGAGGGGAGCTTGCAGGCTGTGGTGTCCCCACATAACTGCTACCCTTTTCCCTAGGTGAAAGTGATTGTAGGTTTAGAAGATGCGCTACCTAAGGATCTGAGGTGGATTTCTGCAGGAGAGTTCTGTAATTGTGAGCTGTATTGATCCTAAACTTAAAACAAATTATGCCATTAATAATAATGATTGGTTAGTAGCCAAAATGGATGTGAACTTGTTCATTTTTGGTTGTTCTGTAGGCCTGACCCACCAAGCCCATTTCAGATTTTTTTTCTCAAAGGTGCTAATTTTAGAAAACATTGTAGTGAGCTGTATCTTTGTCCTGCAGTGATGGTTCTACTTCAGTAGATTCTGTGTTTTTAAGAAAAGAGAAAGGAAGAATGATTTATTACCGCAGTTTTCAAAAAGTTGTTAAATTTTGAAGCAAACTGATCATCTCCATTTGACATTATAGGTTGAGAGACTATTTGTCTTGGCTGAAATAATGATGTCATTCTCTTAATCTTTTCCCTGTCTTTTGCATACTTTCACATTACTTCTTTCCAGTGAATTTTGTTTTCTTTTCAGATGTATGCTTACTAATGCACAAAACTGTTGTAGCTAGTTCAGTACTGTATCTTTTAATCCTCCAAGGCTTCTGAAATTTGGCGCATTCTCAGCAGTCAGCACATTAACTCTGTTTAAAAATGCAGCTGTAATCAGTTTATGATAGCTGAAGCTTCTCTATTTTTAAAATGTTGTAATATATTATCCATCTCATTTCTTTTCCTTATACCACCAGGCCATATCCCCTTCAATTCCAGTGAAATGAACTCTTGCAAAATTGACATTTTCCTTAACCTTTAAAACTAAGATTTAAACTTTTCATTAATCATGTTTTCTCATTTTGCAGCTATTTGTACTGTTTAGTGCAGAGGAGCTGATCACACATTTTCAACAAGTTTTGGAATCCCATGAGGTTAACTGGCAATATGTACTGTCCTCTGCTTCAACACTGTTGGTCTGCCAACCAGAGAGCCAAAACTATCTGAAAGGTATGAAATTAACCTGGACAAGAGTCTGGTGATGTGAATCAATTTGAAACATTTTAAAATATTGCATCATACCAATATATCTCTCCTGTCTTGCTTATGATTAGTCTGAGTTGTATTTCTTGTAACAGGCCAAGAGGTTTGAGGCAAAAATGACCAGCAAACATTCATTTGGTGTATTGATTTTGAAGTTACAGCATATAAACTAGAGAGGAAGCAAGAACAGCAATCAGTCCATTACAGTGATAGCCATTTTGCTTTAATTGCACTGGACATTAGCGTTACTAACCTGACAATATTAAATGATAAATTGTAGCATTGCACACATTGAGTCATATAATGTAGTTACTCTCGATGTTGTTAATGTCTTTGTGTTCCTTCTTCTCTTTGATTCTTACCACTTTCTATCATCTGCTTCCCACCCACCCTTAACACTTCATGTTCCTTCTTTATTTATAAGGGTGAGCACTGACCTTTTCTCATTGTTAAATGGTGGTAACTAGTCAGCTTCAAAATTTACCTACTTTTTGAAAACTGCAGTAATAAATTACTCTTCCTCTTTCTCTCTCTCTTTCTCACTGTCACTTTTTCCATTCTCCCTCAGCATAATTCACCATGTGAACATTAATGAAACATAGAACAAAAGCCACAAAGGAAGTGTAATCACAGCGTCACCACCACTGTTTTTATCCATACAATTAAATGTGTTATTTTTCAAAATCATTTGGAAGAAATCAACTGAGTCAATGTCGTAGGAAGAATATGAAAATATTCCATCAATACAGTAATTGCTGAACTTATTTAGACAGGGCAATCCAACATCATCTCATACAAATACAGCTCTGGCAAAAGATATTGAATCTAAGTTTAGGCTTTTGGGAACAATAGAGCCATGTATAAACTTCAAAAAAGGCATTAAAAACCACAAGATAATTCAATGGATAAAGTTAGGAATTATGTAACAAACTGGGCATTTTAACCTTTAAACTAAATTTGTAAACCCTTATTTAAATTACTCCAAAAAAGATCAAAAAGCATTCTGGCTAGTTGATTGTTCAAACTCAGTGCATTTAATTCTCGATACAAAGCAACAACCATTATGTAAAACAAATAAATTAAACTCTGCTTTTGAATGAGATCTTTAATTTGAGGCCCTGTCTTCGACATGAGGTAAAAGATTCTATTGCACTATTTTGGAGAGGAGCCGATGAGCTTTCCTGATGTTCTGCCTGATAATTATGCTCTGATCAACATCACAAAAAATCATCTTTTCATTATATGACCTTGCTGTTGGTGGGAGCTAGCTGTGTACAAATTACATGCTGCATTTCCCTACATTGAGGCCTTGACTGTAATTTATAAGTATTTCATTTGCTGTAAAATGCTTTAGAACATCCTGAGGTTGTGAAATTAACTTTGTCAGTGCAGGCCTTTCTTGTTTCTTCCCTATATTTATTTCAACTATTCTTATCTTATGCCTTGCATTTCTACAGAGTTCCTTATTTCTTACTCTGTTCTGAGTAAAGAGGCTGCTTTTGTGTGGAGAGACCGATGAAATTACTGTTTGGATGTCAATAGTTGAGATCCTGTTGACACTGTACCTCTAATTCCCAGGAAGAAGACAGAAGGATGCGTTTGAGTGATAGCTAAAAGACTTGAATGTCCTCCAGGAGCAAGAAAGCAGTAGCTTATTCCCTTTGAATTATTAATTTCACCAGGTCAGATTTTCTCATCTTTTCAGAGCTACTGACTAAGCTGCTGATAAATTCGTTTGAGAATTATGAATTGGAGAGTATAATCACTGCGTTCCTGCTTGCACGTCAGGCTGCACTAGAGGGACCAGCTGTTTTCATCAGCTATGCTGAATGGTTCAAGGTAAGATGAGACATTTGAACAAAAGTAGCGCTCCAGAATTTAATTTGTCTTTAGTGAGGTCCTCCTTGCTTCTCCATGGAGAGCATGGCAATCCTGACTATTGTACTGATTTGAAATATTGCAAAATAAGTGCTGGAAATATCATCTGATTAATTCAGGCCAGGAACATTTACTGATGTTCTTTGACAGAATCACATTTTAGCATCTTCGAAGTTGTTCAAAATAGCTGAATTACAAATAGTTCTAAACGTTTTTGAACAGACAGAGGAAGATGACATACACAACTGGGAAAGGTAGCTTGATTGGAAAAGTTAATTTAGGACTTAGCTTGGGGCAGGGTACTCTAACCCTTTGAGACAGAAAAGACTGCAGATGCTGGAAGCTAGAGTCAAAAAATATGGAGCTGGAAAAGCACAGCAGGTTAGACAGCATCCAAGTAGCAGGAAAGTCAACATTTCAGGTCGAAACATTGAGTTTCCTGCTCCTCGGGTACTCTAACACTTTGTCTGTGTCGATGGACGATTTAAGATAAGTATCTCACATTCCTCTGTGCTCCCTCAATCTCATGTGCTCTCCCTTGCTCATGCTCCCTTGCTAATCTTCAGAATTGAATTAGCAACTCTTCAAAACAGCTCATTTGAATTTGCAATGTTTTACACTTTACCTATTTATGTAATTACCTCAGGGAGCTATTAGTAGATATCTTACTATTATGACCAAGAGTTGATTGTCTGACAATATTACATCTACTTGTGGTTCACGCAGAAGTTTTTTTAATAAGAGACTTTATCATAGTAAATGATTGGGTTTCAATTTATATTATGTAGAATAGACTTAATGCAACCTTGCTTCCTGATGCTGACTGTCTCACCACACGGTCTAAAGTTAGAACAATACAAGTTTTGGACCTCCTGTCCTTCAGGCTCCTGTTGTCTAGGTCATTGTCTAGCTTTGATGCATAGCTCCTCTGACATTTGAGAATACCCTAATTTTAAAGGGGGCCTTGATCAATTCTTAGACAACAGAATAACTTGCTGCTTGCTTGCATAATTCGTAGTTTGTATGATTAGCTGAGGAAGCAATAACGTGACCCATGCAGGAAGACCTGGACAACATTCAGGATTGAGCTGATGAGTAGGAAGTGCATTTGCATCACATAAACACTAAATAGTGACCATCTCCATCAAGAGAGAATCTAACACTCTGCCCGTGACATTCGATGGCACTATCATCACTGAGCTGTTCGTTATCAACATCCTGGAAGGTTACCATTTAACCAGAAACTGAACTCTGGTGACAGGATATGTCACAGACCAGGAATCCTGCAACAAGTAACCTGTCTCCTATCTCCCCAAAGACTGGTCTCAATCTAAAAGGCATATGTCAAAAGTAATGAAATATCCTCCACATGTCTGAATAACAGAGCTCCAAAAACATTAAAAAAGTTTGATACCATCCAGGACAAACCAGCCTGTTTGATCAGGACCTTATACAGAGCCTTTTACATGCAAACCCTGCACCACTGGCACACAGTGGCAGCATTGTGTACCATCTGCAGGATGCACAGCAGCAACTTGCTAAACCTCCTTTGTCAGCACCTTCCAAACCTACTTCATCTACCAACTAGAAGGCCATTCCTTGACATTCAATGGCATTGCTATTGCTGAATTCCTCTATTATCAGTATTGTGGGGATTACCATTGACCTGGTAACTGAACCAGACTATCCTTATAAATACTGTGGCTACTAGATTAGGGCAGTGGTTAGGATTCCTGCAGCAAGTAACTTGCTTCTTGACTCCCCAAAGCTTTCCCACTACCACAAGTCAGGTGTGTGATTGGGTTACTCTCCATTTGCATGGATGAGTGCAGCTCCAATAGTACGCAAGAAGCTTGACACCATCCACGCAAAGCAGCCAATTTGATTGGCACCACATCGGTAAATGTTCACCACCAACATGCAGCAGCAGCAGAAGTGTGTACCATCTAGAGTTTCCACTGCAGCAACTCACCAAGGCTCTTCTAAACCCATGACCACATTAAACCCACTGCCTGTCTGGAAGGACGAAGAGTTGTAGATACATGGGAGCACCAGCAAGTGCAAGTTCCCCTCCATGCCACTCTCAATCCTGGCTTGAAAATAAAGCCAAATATTGTAGATGCTAGAAATCTGAAAGAAATAGATTTGGCAGCATCTGTGGAGAGAGCAACAAGGCTTGCCATAATCTGAAGGAGCTGTCAGACCTGCTTCACATGGGAACGTATTATGGAGAACCGGATGCGACCTGTAGTCTGAACCTCATTTTATTGCTATGTTTAATTTTGGTTATTCAAGATTCTCTTGACTACCCTTCTTACCTCCACGTTTTCTGACAGTTACACGCACAACAATTTAAATTGGCATATCAGTGGCTGAAAATGTTATTAAGTTGTGTTCTTAATTTGTACACCAATTGAAATACCCAATTTTAAACTGATAGTTCAGTTACAACTAGGTATTATATTGTATAACTGTGCACGATAACCACTCCATCCAGAAACCTTTTGTTTGGAAGCAACAGTTGTCCAGAAATAAATTTGAGCAGGTGGAGGTATTTTTTTTAATGCTATTGGCGTCATTTTGAGGCAGAACATTGATAGTGTAAACATGAAAGATACAGTATTTGGATACGTACAGCAACCTTCATTCCAGCTCGTAATGTTTTCATTGTTTGAGCTTTATCTATGGAGTTTTCCAGTTCACTAACTTTTGTCTGCACTTTGTAATATTCTATAGTCCTGTAAATTCCAAAATCCAGAAATAACTTTATTTCTAGTATTGTGCTGTAGAGAGCTCACAGTAAATTATATTCTTGATGATACTAGTGACTTGCACTGTACACTAGCTACAGTTTTACTAGCATTACATCTGTACAGTACTGGAGGATCGCTTAGATTCCGAGCAATTTTTTTTTAACATCACTTTGGTACAACGCTGGATCACATGTAGCACAAAATAGATGCAAGTTCCCAAATTCTGTTCTTTTTGTTTTATTAGAATTCCTTTGGGTCTGCGAGTGGTTACCATGCTAGTAGCAAGAAGTCGCTAATTTTCCTACTGAAATTTTTGACAGACCTGGTGCCATTTGAAACTGCACAGTATTTAAAGGTGAGAAGATTATTAATGACCAGGTAGAAGCACCAAGCCCGAGATCTAATATGGGTATTGTTGAGCTCTTTGTCCATTTATCTGTTTATTCTGCTGAGAAACAGGAAACCAGTTGCATTTAAAATGACCATAATTGTCTTTTGCTGTTTAAGTTAGTAAATATTACATCAGGGATTAATCAAAACTGCTGCCTGTCATTGTTCAGTATTGATAAACTAGTGCTGCAACCAGACTAAGCTCTGAGATGAGGAGATTGTCCTATGAGGCCTTGATTCCTTCAAATTTAGAAGATTGAGAGATAATCTGATTGAAACATATAAAGTCGTTAAGGGGTTTACAGAGACCGAGATGAAGAGAAATTTCTTCGCTAAGAGTTGTGAATTTTTGGTATTCTCTATCCCCCAGGGTTGTGGATGCTCTAGTGTTGACTATATTGAAGACAGTGTTTGTGATTTTTGGATACTAAGGAAATTTGGAGATTTGGGAAACACCCATAATAATATTAAATAGCAGAACAGAGTTGAGGGTTTAAATGGCTGCTTCCTCTGATTTTACGTGTTTCTAAGGTACACTGTTACAGTAGGAATGACGTTTGGCAACACTGTCTTTCTTGCACAGGTCCACATATTATATCCCCCTTACGTGGCATCAAAGTATCGCATTATGCTCCTGGAATATATCTCACTGGCTAAAACTCGACTTTCAGATCTCCAGGTTGGTCATGAAGCCAAGCTGCTAAACTGTGTGGGAGTTTCGCAGGATTGCTTAATTCATAGAGTAAAGGAGCTCTATTGAGTAGTATAGCACTTTCTTTCCTAAAATGATAAAAAATATGATAACAAAACTGTTGATATTTATATAAGCTACATTAAAAATAAGCACTGTGACTGACCAATCTAAGCCTTCCTTTCATTCTGAATTCTACACGTTTCTCTTTAGGTGTCAATTGAAGAGTTGGGTCTGTATGAGGACCTGTCAACAGCTAATGCTCCTCCTAAGGTTAGTCTAGAAATAGATGGATACAGGTTTCAATTGCATAACTGCCTGTGTCATGATGTCAGCCAGTGCTAATACTGATAAATTGTCTCATTCTATTCTTTACACTTCGTAATGAATTGGATTTTAATTGTTATTTTCTGAAAATTGAATACTTCAGAACTGAAACCTAACATTGCATCCAATGTAAAAACAAGGAATTTTAGATTCATACCTAGAATTTACAGAGGATCATTCATTCATTCATTTAATCATGGAAATATCTGATTTGTTACACGAAGCAGACCTGCAATATTTGAGGTAATTGTTGTATCTGAGAGAAGAAAATTGCGTCAGGTTTTGAATAATATTGTTTAACTTTATTTTCTGTAGCCCCAGTGTCAAGCCATGCAGGATGTTGAGAGAGCTATTCTGATTTTTGAAAACAGTGGAAAGATCCCATCTAGCGTAATGGAAGCAAGGTACATCACGGCTAGGTTCCAAATATTGAGATCTACTTCATACATTTGTGGAATAATTTATTGCTTTGTATACACTTTTATTTGCAAAAGTGAAAAAAGGAAACGAAGCTTGAAATTTCCAAATCCATCCTGTACATGATACTTGCCTGCTGTTCTATAGACCGCACTTGTACTGAGCTCCTCACTTCACAACTCTTCTATCAGGCCCCCATTCCAGCTGGCATTCTGCATCTTTACAAGTTGTCATTATTTACCCAAATCACACTCAACCAAAAACACATTGCTTACAAACAGCTGGCATAATTCAAAACTCCTTGAATGTGTCCATTGTTCCTAAAAAAAAATCTCCTATTTTTATGTTTATCATAATAAGCTCAATCTAACCAAAATCACATATCACACCCTCCGACTCTGGCCGTGGTACATTATACCTCTTTACCTTTCTACCATGTTTGAGATGGTTGATCATTTAAATCTATTCCAAATTCCCCTGGTCTCTTATCTTAGAGCATGGCCAGTCGTGGGATCTCCACCACCCCACCAACACCTTCCCCCTCCCCCAAACACACTTTCTCCCAAAAATCTGTTAAACTCTGAAATCCCATAATTATCACAATTTCCTTCTTTACAGGCTGTCCTTGGCAGCAGTGTCTGCGGATGTGAAGTCCGCATCCCTCTGTATACAGATAACAGTTTATATATCTAACCCATCTCTGATCCCCTCCGGTGCCTCTGTGCTGTCAGACTGTCCTCGCTTTGGTTGACCTGTAGTGACATTTAAATGTTGGGCAAACCAAAGCTGTTGCCTCTAGTTCTTTTCAGGTGACCATGATATAATCATATTTAATGTCACTGTTGTGGATGTTGATACAGTGGAAATGTGAATTCTGTTTTTAAAAAGGCAATATCAATTTATTTAAAATAAAACTAATCATGAAGCTGTTCTATTGTCATTAAAAATCCAACATCTTACTGGTTTCCTTGAGGAAGGAAAGGTTTGGTGCTTATCTGATCTATTTGTGATTACAGTCTCACACTAATGTCATTAAGACTTAACTGTCCCCTGAAGTGTCCAAATAAGACAATCAGTTTTATCAAGTCACTATCAGTCCATCAGGAAAGTGGAAATCTGAAATAAAAAACATAAAGTGCTGAAGAATCTCAGCAGATCTGGCAGCATCTGTGGAGAAAGAAGTAGAGTTAATGTTTCAAGCCTGGTATGACACAATAATTGCTGCCCATGCCAATATTCCAAGAATGAATGATGACTTTTTTTTAGAAACTGCTTTTCAAGAATTCTTTGTTCCTAACTCAGAAGTTGGGATTTCCAATTTCAAGGCCATACCCATCAACAATCAATATTTTTCATCTAATTTACTGATTTTACAATAGCTAGATAAGCTGTTTAAATTTCAAATGAGCAATAATTATACACATTTTTAAAATTTATTCCAGCATTTTCCGAAGGCCGTATTACTTGACAAGATTTTTGCCTGCTCTGCTTACCCCTCGTCTGGTTTGTGTTTCTTATATTTTAATATTTAAGCTCAACTGTGATGTTCTACAAAATGCATTGTGATCAATGAGTCATATTATATTGTGATAGTGCCATAATTAGTGGATCCTTGTTTATGGAATGAAATGCCTAATTAATCAATGTTATTGGTTGTGATTTGCTATATTGTCATTTACAGCTACCTCCTGCCCAGGACTCGCGAATGGTCTTCATTGATTCCCTCAAAAAGTAAGTGACCATTTCAAACTTGTATATAATGCAAAAATCTGGATTGGAATATTCAAAGGGACAAAACAACGGCTGAATAAAACTACCTTCATTTTAAGTCCCAGGCGCTAGGCTACCGTAATTCAGTGTTAATTAGAATTAGGATTTGCTTTATTGTCATGTGCACTCGAGTACAGAATTACAGGAGTACAGTGACAAGTTTACAATGTTGCTCCACGTGGCGCCATCTTCGGTACAAAGCTTAGACACAACACAGAGAAATAAGGGAGAAACAGTTACGTTACCTTGCAGTTATTCATAGTATAAGTTAGAAAAATAAGAAAATAAAGTTAGAAAGATAAAACATTACTGCCTTTCTATAAAGGGCCTGCAGTAAGTCAGCGCGGTCACTTCCACATGTGGTCTGACTGGGCTCACAAGCCACTGGCCGCCCCCACTGGTCCCAGCCCAACAACCGTCCCTGCTCCACTCGGGCCTTGGGCCGCTCTGTGTTGCTGTTCTGAGGTAAGTCTTTCGAAAACACTTAAAAGAGACGGGAAGGCCGAGAAAAGAAAAAATCAGACAGAATGGACAAGCTCTGGGCTGAGGAGCCTGGATGCTGTCTGCTCTGCCGCTGCTATCTTGTAATGGTCAATCTGAACCCGGTCAACCTTCAGCCTATCCTTTACCACAAAGGTATGGGAACCAATTGATTGGGGCCTATTGTGTCTATTTGTTCCAAGTTAAATTTATGGTGCTATCCCCCAGAAAGTCTGTTTGACACAATTCATGAGGACATGAACATTCTGTCCATCATAAAAACATTGTACATCTCTAACTGTAAGAGTATTAGGTCAACTGCTGCCACTTTTTATTATTTAAAGAGACATTATTCTGATCTCAAGATGCAAAAAGCACTGCAATTAATGTTTTGTATCATTCAGTTAGATGACAAAAAGTTGATAACTCTTATTAGAATTTCTTCTAATTTTGGTCCTTCATTACCTTGACCTTTGTAGTTGGTGACAGTCTCTTTTGTTTCGACCAGAGCAGATAAAATACCAGAGAATCTGTACACGAACTACATTCATGCATGTGAAAGAGAGAAACAGGGCGAGAAACAAGGTAAGGAGTGCGAGTGTGTGAGTAAAATATATTTTGTGCCTTTGCATGTGCTGTGAAAGCATGTTATGTAACCTGTTAAATTCAGTGAATGTTACCTGTGTGCCCCATTCTACTGCACCTGAAGTCCTCATGTTGAGTATCAAAGTTTTTTTGTTGCAGATTATGTTAAAACCCTTCAATATTGATGATTCCTATTGCTCCGTTTCTGAAGAATTCTCAGCTGTTTATCTCCTTTCTGTTCCCATTTCCCGGTTTCCCTGATAAATCTTTAATGAATAAGTTATTGTGAAAAATCAAAGCATTTGGAATTGATGATACTATACTGCCTGGATTGGGAATTGTTGAGCAGACGGGAAACAGATTCAGAGTAAAAGGGCTGTTTTTGAGCAGTTACAAGTGGGACACTCTAAGGCTTGAGTGCCAAGTTATTCACAAAACATAACAATGATTTGAATGAGGAAATCAAAAGTAATATTCCCAAGTTTGCTGATGACACAAAACTATGTGGGAGTCCTGAGGAGGATGTAAATTGGCTTCAGGGCATCTTAGACAAGTTGAGTCAGTGGGCATATGCCTGGCAAGTGCAGTATAACACAAATAAGTGTGAGGTTTTCCATTTTGTTAGGAAAAATAGATATTATTTCAATGGTGATGCACTGGGAAGTGTTGATGTCCGGAGGCCACCTGGGTGTCCTTGTACACTGGTCATTGAAAGCAAGCATGCATGTGCGGCAGGCAATTAGAAAGGAAGTAGTCTGTTGGCCTTCGTTGCAAGAAGTTTAAGGAGCAAGGAAATTTTGTTGCAGCTGTACAGGGCCTTGGTGAGACCACACCTGGAGCATTGTTTTAAAGTTTTGGCCTCCTTACCTAAGATAAGATATACTTGCCATTAGAGAGGTGGATGCAATGAAAGTTCCCCAGATTCCTGGATGGCAGCTTTGACGTACGAAGAGGCATTAGAATGACTGGGCCTGTATTCACTGGAGAATGAGGTGAAGAATCTAATTGAAACGTATGACAATCTGACAAGGCTGGACAGACTGGGTGTAGAGATGATGTTTTTCCTGGCCAGGGGTCCTAGAACAAGGGGTCACAATCTTAAGATACCTGATAGGCCATTTTGAACTGAAATGAGGAGACCTTTCATCATCCAGAGGGTGGTGGGGAGGTGCAGTCACTGAATGTGATAAAAAAAAATAGATTTCCAAAAGTTAAAACTGTCAAGGGAAATGGGGAGAGCATGGAAGTATGGTGTTAGAGGATCGATCGTATGGAATGGTAGAACAGGGTTGATGGGCTGAATAGCCTACTGCTGCTCCCATTTCTAGGTTTCTATTGCCTGTGATTGAACCTGATAAAATTGCTGCTGCACTGCATGGTTACCCTACTTGTTGAAACAACTGTCAAATATATCTCGAAATACCCAATCAAAGCTCCCTCGTTCCAAGTTTCAAAAATCCACAGGCCATTCCTTCCTCTTCCCCACCAATATTAATAGACTGGTGAAGAGCCATACTGGATGTTTCTCACTCCTCCACAGATGCTGACAGACCTGTTGAGTTTCTCCAGCATTTTCTGTGTTAGTTAATGGGCTAAACTTGGACTGCCTCCTGTTACAAATACAAAAAGTGGTGGAAGTATACAACAAGTCAGACACAGGTAACATTTTAGGTCTGTGTCCTTTCATTAGGACCAGCGTTCCCTCTAAGTGGTGCAAATCTAATATCCCATACATTGCCTTTGGGTTTCAGAGGTCGCTGCCATGCATGGTCCTTTTGGTCCAAAGAAAATGTTAGAAGGTGTATTGATCAGGTTCCAAATAACTCTATTTCTTTCACCAAAGGTATTGCCAGACCGTCTGAGCATTTTAGAATCATAGAATCCTACAGCACGGCAACAGGCCCTTTGGCCTGTCGCCGTGCTGTAGGACTCTATGATTCTAAAACTGCTCAAGCTGACCAATGTCCATCCATGCAAACCCCGTTCCCCTGCACTTGGCCCATATCCTTCTAAACCTTTCCTATTCATGTATTTGTCCAAACGCCTTGTAAATGTTGTTAACGTACCTGCCTCAACCATGTCCACTGGCATCTCATTCCATGTGCGTACCAGCGTCTGTGTTTAAAAAAAAAAAAAAAAAAATGCCCCTCCGGTCCCCATGTATTCTTTCCCCTCTTACCTTAAACTGATGTCCTCTAGTCCTCGATTCCCCAACCTTGGGAAAAAGACTGAGTGCATTCAGCCTGTCCATGCCACTCCTGGTCTTATACACTTCTATAAGATCCTCCTTCAGTCTCCTACGCTCTAAAGAAAAAAAAGTCCCAGCTTGTCCAATCTCTCCTTATAACTCAGTCCCTTGAGTCCTGGCATCATCCTTATAAATTTCTTCCGCACTCTTTCCAGTTTAATAACTTACTCCTATAGCAAGGTGACCAAAACTGAACACAATACTCCAAGTGCGGCCTCACCAACATTCTGTACAATTGCAACATAACCTCCCAACTTCTATACTCAATGCCCTGGCTGATGAAGGCCAGTGTGCCAAAAGCCGCCTTCACTGTCCTGTCTACCTGTGACTCCACTTTGACAGAACCGTGCACCTGACCCCTGTTCCACAACACTCCATAGGGCCCTACCATTGACCAGGAAGCTCCTACCTTGATTTGACTTCCCAAAATGCAACACCCCACACTTATCTATATTAAACTCCATTTGCCATTTCTTGGCCCACTTCCCCAGTTGATGGAAATCCTGCTGCAATTTCTGATAACCTTCCTCACTGTCCATGATACTTTGTATTTTAGTGTCATCTGCAAACTACTAATCCTGCCTTGTAAAGTCTCATCCAAATCATTGATATAAATAACAAACAGCAATGGACCCAGCACCGACCCCTGAGGCACACCACTAGTCATAGGCCTCCAGTCCGACAAGCATCCTTTCACTATTACTAAATAAAAACTGACAGAACAGCGGATACGGTAAATCAGGATCAAAAACAAAGTTGATGGAAAAGCTGAGCAGATCTGGCAGCATCTGTGAAGAAAAAAATCAGAGTTAATGTTTCCGGAAACGTTAACTTTGTCTTTTCCTTCACAGATGCTGCCAGATCTGCTGAGCTTTTCCAGCAACTTTGTTTTTGTTTCACTATAACTGTCGGCTTCCTACCATCAAGCCAATTGTGTATCCAATTTGTCAGTCCTCGTGGTTTTCATGCGATCTAACCTTCCAGGGCAGCCTACCATGTGGAGGCATATCAAACCTTATCAACCTTATCATTTTCTGATTTTATTTCAGATTTCCAGCATCTGCAGTATGTTACTTTTCTTTGCCTGCTTCCTATTGGGCAGTACCCGCTAAAATAGCCACTGATGATTCACAACGAGGCAGTGAATCTCTCTTGTCCCTCTCAATGGGACATCACAGACCACATTCTTAACACCCTTGTTTATCTGCCCTCCCATAAACGACTTTTCAAAATTCGTCACTAGAACCTGACAAAGCATCGCTTCTTAATTGTAGCTCTTCACACCTCCCCCATGAAGCAGCAGTTCAACCTCAAGCAGAAGATGGAGAGGGGAGGGAAGGGCTAAGAGAGATGAAGAGTGTGAAATGGGATTAAGGAAAGAAATAGGGTGAACGGTAATATCACAATGACTCCATTTCTACCTTGCCTTTTTAAAGGTACACACTCAAGTTTGTATTCTGCCTTCCCTTCCTCTTTCTTCCCTTATTTGTCTATCTCTTCCTCTTTCTTCTGACTTTCTAGCTACCTCTTCTCCTCCCAGCTTCATCTCCTCCCCACCCTCCTGCCATTCTACCTCCCCCTTCCTCTTTTCTCTTCCCTAGTCTCCCTGCCCTCCTTCATCCCTCAATAATGTGGTTTATTTTAAAAATTGCAAAGTTTATAGATGAAAGGTATCCTTAACCAAATACATTAAGTACTCACTTTGTGCAGACCCATTTATGACTGGTTGTGTGGGCTGTATAATCTCATGCTGGTATATTGATGTTATTTTTACCAGAAATCCAGACATTTAAATCAATGTTATATAACCTGGCAGTAAATATTGCTTTTTATCCGCTTCTTGTTTTGGAAGCAGACGTTTCCATGTCTGAGGAAATGCAGCATCCAATGGAACCACTTAGAGTCCTGACGACTGCTCTTGAAGAGCTGAGCAAAGTTGTTACTGAGCCAAGCGATAGTGGTGGTACGTGCACGATGTTGATAGAATGACAATCACGAGCAATCAAGATGGGGCTCACTGAGTTTATTTCTTTCTCAATCTTTCACTTCTCAAGCCTAGGTGCATCTTTCAAAGCTAATTACATCTGTACTTTTAAGAGGGCATTGGAGATTGTTTGGCAGCAAAATAAATTGAGGGATAAGTTAACAAATTGTTTATGCTTTATAACATGTTAGGAAGATTTTGATGTTCCCATTGACCTGAAGGGCTGTGCTAACAGAAATATAACTTTTGGTGCGATCATCCAAGCCGTCCAAGGCTAAGAACAGTTCACATGTCTTGGTTGGATGTTGTGAGTTAGGCTGATGAGCAGTCCACATAAAAATGCCTTTCATTATGGAGTCAGCCATCTTGTTTCTGGACTGTGTTACAGATATGAGGTATAGCCACAAAGAAGAAAGAACTTGTATTTATACTGCATATTTCACAGTTTTGGGACAGCCTGTTAAATAACTTTTGGAGTGTAGTCACTGTTATGGCATAGGAAACATGGCAATCAGTTTGCACACAGCATGATCCCACAAACAGCAGTGAAATACACTTCTTTTTCACTTCTGTCAACTGAGCTTTGAATATTGGCCAAAGTGGCTGCCATATTTGCTGCATTATATCAGTGACCTCAAGAAGCAGTTCATTGGCTGTAAAGTGCTTTGGAATACACTGCGATGATGAAAAGTTCTAATTGAATGCAGGTCTGTCTTTCTTGAACAAACAATCTTCTGATTGGGAGATCAATGTGTTACCTAGTGAATCCCAGCTGACACAATGGAGTCCAATATCATGGTCTGAACAGTTAGCAACAGACTTTAGTTTAGAGTACAGAGGAGATCATTTTCCTAGGACTGAGCAATTAAAGAAAACTGACTAAAAATGTACCATATTTCATGTCCTACATGATTCTAACATAGAATAGATCATAATTAATTAGTGTCAAAACAGATCTTTTTCTTAATGGGATAACAAGGTGTAGAGCTGGATGAACACAGCAGGCCAAGCAGCATCAGAAGAGCAGGAAAGCTGACGTTTCGGGCCTAGACCCTCCTTCAGAAATGGGGGAGGGGGAAGGGGATTCTGAAATAAATCGGGAGAGAGGGGGAGGCGGATAGAAGACGGATAGAGGAGAAGATAGGAGACAGACAGGTCAAAGAGGTGGGGATGGAGCCCGTAAAGGTGAGTGTAGGTGGGGAGGTAGGGAGGAGATAGGTCAGTCTAGGGAGGACGGACAGGTCAAGGGGGCGGGATGAGGTTAGTAGGTAAGAGATGGGTGTGGGGCTTGAGGTGGGAGGAGTGGATAGGTGGGAGGAAGGACAGGTTAGGGAGGCGGGGACAAGCTGGGCTGGTTTTGGGATGCGGCCGGGGGAGGGGAGATTTTGAAGCTTGTGAAGTCCACATTGATACCATTGGGCTGCAGGGTTCCCAAGCGGAATATGAGGTGCTGTTCCTGCAATCTTCGGGTGGCATCGTTGTAGCATTGCAGGTAGCTTGTGAAGTCCACATTGATACCAAAACTTCTCAGATTCTCCAGCATCTGCAGTTCCTACTATCTCTTTTTCTTAATGCATCTTCACTTGAACAGAAATTAATGATTAATGCATTTATTTGTGTTAATGATACAAATCTTTTTCTAGTTGTTTCTGCTCAAATAGCTGTAATCTTTGGCCAACTGAAAACTATGGTAGACACTGATGATGATTGCACTGCAATGGATAAACCAATCCAATTAGAAACTGCTGTACATGAATTGGCTCCTGTTGAATTAGAGGTGAGTGTTCTTTTGGAGGTCATGTTATAGTAATGGGCATATATGTACTGTGTGGATATGCATGCATTGAACAAGGTGCATCTAACATTTTTTTCATATGAAATTTTTGGTGGTGATGTATACTGTTGTTTTTTATTTACTTAGATATTTATTTTGTATAAATGTTCCCCTGTGACAATGGGATCATTTTCCATATTCTACTCACCCTAAACAACTTCCATCTGTATTGTGGTATATGCAATCAGTAATGGTGTCTGATTTTCAAACCCTGTTACCCATCAATGTAAAGATTAAAATAGTTTGGCCATGGCACAGTTCTTCCTGAGCACTTGTCTTCAGAGGGCCTGCAAAGAAATCCCTCCCAAAAAAATTCTGTTCTAAATGTTTGTGTTAAAATTCAGATAATTTTAAAAATGGACAATGTTGCTGGACTCTCAAAATGGCTGAGGCTGGTTGTATTTCCAGGAGCTCCTCAGCCTCCAAAAGACTTGCCAGATAAAGCTGACATAAAGGGCTTGGATATAAGCTGCCTGTCTCCAGCAAGTTCAGCAAAAAAAATATCAAAACTCATTACAGGTTGTTCTCCTACACCGCGATAGTTGCGTTCTTATGCTATAGAAAGTCCGCATTGAAAATCTCATTAGAGGGGTATTGTTATACCTATAGAGCAGAACATTTGTGTTATCCAAACAGCGATTACTATTCACCTATCACGTTACAGACAATTTGCATTAACGAAACACACATTATAGCAGAACTACCTGCTTTTATTACAGTGAACACTAATGCTGTTACAATTAGCTCTTTATCTTGTAATAGAAAACCTTGTGGGGGTTAGCTTTCTGGCCTTCCAAATAGCCCACTGAGCAAACAAAATACCTGTTTTTATCACATGACTGAAATCAGAATTTGACAAATGTTTTTTATTAATCCAAGGTATGTTGTTGTTACTGGTTATACCAGTATTTATTTCTGGTCCCTCACTTCCCTTGAGAAGATAGTGATGATCTGCAGCCTTGAATCACTATAGTTCATTTGGAATAGGCAGATCCACAATGCCATTAGGGAGGGAATTCTAGGATTTTGAACTAGCGATACTGAAAGAATGGCAATATATTTCCAAGTCAGAATGGTGAGTGGTTGGAGGGGAATTTGCAGGTGATGATGTTCCCATGTATCTGCTGCACTTGTCCTTCCAGGTGGTAGTCACGCATTTGGAAGGTGCAATCTAAGGTGCCGTGGGGATCTTGTGCTGAGCAGCTTATAGATGCTGCACACTATTACAAGTGAGCCTTAGCAATGGAGGGCATAAATGGCACCATGTTCACAAACTATCAAGTGGCCTTCTTTTCTTAGATGGTGTCAGGCTTCTTGAGAGTGTTGTTGGAGCTCCACCCATTCAGGCAAGTGGAGAGTATTTCATCTGTTAAGTGGCCCTGGTGGAATCCAAAACTGGGTGTCACTGAACAGTTTGTTGCTAAGCTTGATAGTCACTGCTTGATAGCACTGTTGATAACATTTTCTATCATTTTACTGATGATCTAGAATAGACTGATGGGGTGGTAATTGGCTGAGTTGGATTTGTCCTGCTTTATATGTACTAGACACACCTGGGCGATTTTCCACATTGTCAGTTAAATGCCAATGTTGTAACTTTACTGGAACTGTTTGTCCAGGTGTGAGGCAGGTTCTGAAGCCTGAGTCTTCAGTACTATTGCCAGAATGTTGTCGGGGCCCTTAGCCTTTGCAATATCCAGTGCCTCCACTGTTTCATGATATCACTTGGAATTGGAATTGGTTGAAGACTGACATCTGTGATGCTGGGGCCTCTGGAGGAGGCCGAGATGGATGATCCATTCAACACTTCTGGCTGAAGATTAATGCAGAATGCTTCAGCCTTATGTTTTACCCTCCCCCATCATTGAGGATGGGGATATTTGTGGAGTTGCCTCCTTCAGTGAATTGTTTAATTGTCTATGACCATTCATGACTGGATGTTGATGAACTGCAGGTCATCGATCTGATCTGTTGGCTGACGGATTACTTAGCTCTGTCTATCACTTGCTGTTTTTGCTGTTTGGCAAAAAGTCTATTTGTGCAAGTAGTCCTGTTTTGTATCTTCATCAAGTTGACATCTTATTTTTACATTTGCCTGATGCTGCTTCTGGCATACTCTTCTGCACTGTCTACTGAACCAGTTTTCATCTCCTGGCTTAATGGTAACTGCAGAATGGGGAATATGCCAGGCCTAAGGTTGCAGATTGTGGTTGTTTTTCCCATTTATTGGTTCCCTTGTTACTTGCTGTAGACCCAGTCTAGTGGCTGTGTCCTTTTGGACTCGACCAGCTCAGTCAGTAATGATGCTGCCGAGATAATCTTGATTTGGACATTGTGTTCCCCAACCCAGAGTATGTACTGTACCCTTGCTACCCTCAATGCTTCCTCCAAGTGGTGTTCAACATGGTGGAGTACTGATTTATCAGTGGACGAGGGTGCTGTAGGTACTAGTCAGCAAGAGATTTCCTTCTCCATGGGTGACCTGATGCCATGAAACTTCGTTGGGTCCAGAGTCAATGTTGAAGATTTCCTGGGCAACTCCCTCACAGTTGTATATTACTGTGCTGCCACCTGCTACATCTGCCCTACTGGTGGGACAGGACATACCTAAGGATGGTGATGATAGTATCATGAACATTGTGTGTACAATATGATTCTTTGAGTATGACTGTGTCAGGCTGTTGCTTGAATCGTCTGTGGGACAGCTCTCCCAATTTTGGCGCGAGCCGCAAATGATGGTAAGGAGGACTTTGCAGGGTTGTCAGGGCTGTGTTTGTCCTTGTCCTTCCCAGAGCCTCAGCCACTGCCAGAAGGTCTGTCTGGTTTCGTTTTTCCTTTGTGTTGAAACTTTACTGGTTGACACAACTGAATGGCTTGCTAGAGACAGAAAGGACTGCAGATGCTGGAAGCTACAGTCAAAAAGTGTGGAGCTGGAAAAGTACAGCAGGTCAGACAGCATCCGAGGAGTAGGAAAGTCAACATTTCAGGTCGGAATCCTTCTGGCTTGCTGGACTATTTCAGAGGGCAGTTTATGAATAAATCACATGTCTCTGATTCCAGAGCCACATGTAGACCAGACCAGGACACCGGAGAAGCAGATGGAGTTTTGTATCACCTGACAGTGATTTCATGGCCATTGGTAGACTACTAGTTCTATTCTAAGTTATCCAGGTCTCTGGGTTACTAGTCCAGCAATAACACCACGAGGCTATCGCCTACACAGTATAGAGTTATAAGTGGTTCGGTTTGATTCACGTGAGTTGGGAAGAGGCGAGAAGAATTTGAGTGATTGGGAAAGGTTAAAGAAAGAGTGTGATTGAGAAAGTCATTCGTGTTTTATGAACTGATCCATATATTTGATATTTTGTCTTGCAAGTATTGTTGTCATTAGTTTCAAAGCATTTTGGATCTTCTCTACTATAGAAATCCATAAGGTGTGTACAGTATTCAGATTGAGAATACCGGCTATTTCTGGTGTCATTATATAATTATAGTTATACTACGATACAATTGTTGTAATGTAATGTGTGTTTCTAGCCAAGGCAAGTTTTTCAAGAGTGCTGTTAGAATTTGTTTTCTCTTGTAGGTCAGAGATCTTCTATTAAAGAGCTTTTGTCAGACATTTATTACAGCAACAAACTTCAGCCCACCCCAGAGGTAAGGTGCAGCAGTGAATGAAATGGCAATGAACTTGGGTTAATTGAATGACAGGCTAAACACCTCTTGTGTAATTCATTAGGAATCAATTTTGTTTTTTTTTAAATACACTAGAAGTGAGCAAAAGTCATAATATGTGTTTGCCGCCTAGTACTATCTTCCAACTTGAGTATCTGCTATTTCTAACTGAAAACAATTACTTCAAAATAAAAATATATACTAGTGTTGACATTTGAGAACAAATTATCAAGGTCTGTCTTTGATTCCAGCATAATCGGTTGGTTTTTAACAGCTCTCTTTTTGAGCCATGTTTTCAGCAGGGCAGGGGCACCTAACACAGGGCTGTGTCCCAGCAAGTCATTATCTTACAGCCTGACTCCCATCCCCACTAGATAGATGAATGGGCCTTGAAATCAGCAGCCTGCCCACCATTTTAAATCAATTAAATAACAGGCAGTTGAACATGTTATCAAGACATAACATGGGCAGCTGAATGGGTTTATTTTAAACTTAGTGAAAACAGGTGGGGAGGTTGTCACCATTTAGGAATGTCCCCTGTGTGTATCAGGGGTCACCTGTTTCCCCATTCTTCCTTGCTCTCACTAACTCTCAAAAGCTCACATGGCACTATTCAAAACCAGAGCGGAGTAGTTCTCCCTAATCTTCTGGCTAATGATTATTCTTCAAACCATTCCACTGAGGAAAAGCTCAGCAGGTCTGGCAGCATCTGTGAAGGAAAAAATAGAGTTAGCGTTTCGGGTCCGGTGACCCTTCCTCAGAACTGGACCTGAAATGTTAACTCTGTTTTTTTTCGTCACAGATGCTGCCAGACCTGCTGAGCTTTTCCAGCAACTTCTGTTTTTTTTCCTGATTTACAGCATCCGCAGTTCTTTTGGTCTTTAATTACTGTGAGGAAACTAGTTGCCTACTCATTGAGTTATTGTGGACATTTTGGCTGCTGCATATCAAACAGTGCCCGCACTTCAAATATGTTGTAAACCTCAATGGTTGTTAAGGATACAAAAACAAGGAGGAATTCTGTTGCCTTGCAATCATCCCCGTTTATCTGTTATTCTATGTACTGCACACTGTGGTAGTTTTCATTATGAACCATAGACTTTCTACACATGGAGCCGAAGACTTTGAGGTTAAAAAGAAAAAAAAATACAAATGCTGTGAATGTGAAATCAAAACACTAAATTCTGGAGATACGATATATCTCTAATGGCTCCTGAAAAATGAAAAATGGGTTCATGTTTTCAGATCTTTTCAGTTGTTGCAGAGGGTTCTTCCCGAAACAATCTAGTGTATCACTTGTTAGCTGCTGACATTTTTATTTCTGTTTCTTATGCGTGTCCACCTAATACATATATTTTTGTGTTTGCAGAAAAGGAGAATGGGCCTCCCTGTTTGTGAAAATGTTGTGTGGCCACAGAAAACTTTTAAATGCAGTTCTTACACGAGTCCTGCATTTGATCACTCGTCAGGTAAGAAAACAGCACATTGTCTGCACCAATTTACTTATTAAGAAAAAAGACTAAAAGGAATCTATTTTTTTTTGCTGGAGGCATGAATGGTCATTATCCTAATACCGCTAACTCTCAAAACGTAGAGCCTCGGGTACTTGGGAATATCAAAATAAAGAATACAATGCTATTACTTCAGTAAATGTTTAATTATTTCTACCAGATAAAATGCGTCTACTTTGATGATATTATTGTGGCCCCTGCACCACTAAGATAATCTGTTGACCACTGTTGCATGTCAGACTTCAAACTTCACACTTTGCTATTATTACTCGAGATAATAAGATAATAATTAGGATTTGAATACCTTGGAATTTATACAGGACATGTGTTTTGTATAATTACAGTCCATACATGTTTTTCTTTAAGGGTTCTTCTCTTGCTGATGTTCACATTTTGGGATTGGCTGCTTTCACAGTTCATCTACACATCTTGCAGCTCATGCTATTACCAGTGAATTCCACTGGACGTTTAGCAGAGTCAGCCGGTCAAGAAGGACTTCCCTTTGCTGAGTACCTAAACCAGTTTTTGATCTGTAGGACTGGAGAACTTTTAACATTCTGTATGAGGTAAATGAACAATCCTGCTTTAAAGGGTTCCGCACAGAGATCAATGAAGCAGAAGTGCAAAGCCATGAAATTTGGTGAGACAAAGATAGAAATGCAAATTCCTAGTTGGAATACACTGAAAATACCAGAGTTGGAGAGATACTGGTGGGTAGGCCTCGAATAGCATTACCCTTCTTCCCATGAGGTAAAGTAAGCAAAATGTACAACCTACAAATCAATTTTGGAAATTATTTTTCTTTAAAATGTTTTGCATTCAGAGAGAGTATATCTGGCAGAACTGGCCATGCTACTAGCCAAGCTGCTGATATCAACCAGACAAAGCTGCAAATGGGAACATTTGTTGCATTATTCCTATTAGATTGTGTATCCTATTGTAATGTATTGACCATGCTGTATAAATCAGCATTTGATTTCAATTTCAGCTGTAACGTATTAATGGTTCACCAATTATATGCTTCCCTTAGATTGAAAGTCATTAGAAAAGCTGTATGGAAGTGCATCATATGCACCAGATTTTGTGATGCGTGTCCTTGCCTTGTTACTGCACAATCTGTGTACCTGTGTGTGAAAACTATTTGAGAACATGACCCACTTTATTAACTTAATGCTTCTATTTTCTGACAGGTTTTGTACAGCAGCAGTTGCTTATGCCATCAGCTTGTCACCATCGTCATCAATTGACATAATAAAACTCTCTGTTCCTTCTGGATTCGTCCAAAAGGTGAAGTATTTTGTGAGCAAGTAAATGGCTTTACCTAGTCCTTTGACTTACTATACAAGTAATTGATTGTCTTCCTCTTGTTTGGAAATCTGGTATACAGTTATTTCCAAGTGCATATAATTACTTTTGAAAGTGTTTTAAAAGGAGCAACACTTGCACCTTACTTAGAAGTATTTGATTTTTTTATGGCTATGTGTCTCTAGAAGGTATCTGTGCCTTATGTGTGCAGGGTAGGTAACAGTGAGATTCTTCAATGAACTAGTCTGAAAATTCTCAATGAGCTGTGTGGAATCTAAATTAGTGATTAAAAGTTCACTTAGATCTAAATTTTCCAACCCTAACCCTTCCTGCCATGTCCACTGAGTAACCTCAGGAAAGGTACAGCTGCGTGCCTTCATATATTTCAATGCTGGATCTATCGACAAGGTACCAATTTAGTGAAACTTGTAAAGGAACAGGGCAAATCAGACAACAATTTACATCTTTTCACTTTTATCTGCACATGTGCAGATGCACATGTTTGCTGTCAAGGTTGACTCCAGAATAATGGTGTGTGCTGGTAGCCTCACCATCATTTCTATTGTAAAATCTGGGTCACCAATTCACTGGAGTTTTCTTTACTTTTAGCTGCAGTATATAGTTCCACGATTGATTCCAGAAGCTCGGCAGGAACAAGAGACAGTAATGGAACCCATGTGGCATAATCTTGTTGACCTTCATTTGAATTGGAAAACTGCAGTTCTTTCATTGTTTAAACACCGTACATTCAAGGAGCTTATGAAGATGAAAGAACTCCAGGTAACTGAATGTACCTCTCCAGACTGAGTTTATCTGGAGGTGTTTGATTTTTTTTTTTGGTAAAATAGCCTTAATCCACAGTTACCACTGCTATCTGTCAACTGAATTATGATATTTTAAATAAAAAATGTACAGTCTTAATTTTAAACTGGTTTGGTGCAGTGGAGTAAAGCAAGTTATAGAATATCCTGATAGTTTGATTTGCACTCTATCCTATTTCTTACAATTAAAAAGGCAATTGGACCAAGTGTAAAGTAGACTTCCAATTTGCTATTGCCTCTTGGAAGCATCCTCCATTTTAACCTCTGCACCAATGGTTATGCAGTAATGCATTTAAACATTTGTACCAAGACTAAGTTTTTTTTGTCCCGGACATTATCCGATGTAGTAATAATAGAGCAAACCTGTTTCTATATTTATTGAACAAAGTGAATTCTTCTGCAAACTTAACAAACAGTAATAAGCGAAGAAAGTATTAAGGACGGCATAGTTGCTCAGTGGTTAGCACCGCTGCCTCAAAGTGCTAGGGAGCCAAGTTTGATTTCAGCCTTGGGTGACTGTATGGAGTTTGCACCTTTTCCCTGTGTCTGCATCGATTTCCTCCCATGGTCCAAAGATGTGTAGGTTAGGTGGATTGGCCGTGCTAAATTACCATAGTGTCCAGGAATGTGCAGGCTAGGCGGATTAGTCATGGGAAATGTGGGGTTACAATGATAGGGTGGAGGTCTGTGTCTGGGTGGGATGCCCTTCGAAGGCTTGGTGCCAACTCAGTGGGTTGACTGGCCTCTTCTACACTGTAGGGGTTCTATGATTCTACGTTCAATCAACTTTGGAAAATGATAAAAGGACAGAGTTTCATCAGTGACCTGACTATAGCTTTGATACTGGCAGATTGTTTATGTTACAATTAGTTGTTGTTATCCTATATTTGCCCAATAAAATGTTAAGAAGCTCAAAGTATAGTTGAGTAAATATTTATTTTAATATATATGAAGGTGTTAGATGTATATAATATTAAGTTTAAAAGGAAATGTCATACCTAACTCTTTCATCCCATTTCTAGTTGACGTTCCATGAGTGGTTGATGTCTGAACTGGCTGTCCAACCAGACAAAGATCTACTATCTGACCTGGACAGGTAAATATCCTCGATGAGTCAAGCATAAGCTTGGCAAATGGTTTCTGTCTCCTCGGAATGTAGAATACCAAGCTGCTATCAGTTGTCAAAATTTAAGTAGAAGAACAACGCCATGGACTTGAAACTTGTCTCAGCTGATTCACTGTGAAAATGGACAGAATTGGATTCACCACCCTTTCCAAGCAGCGTCGGATTTTTAATTTTATTGACTGTAATGGAACTGAATGTAACAGACA